GGACACAGGTGTGCAGACTGGGACACAGGTGTGCAGAGACTGGGGCACAGGTGTACAGAGATTGACCACCAGGTATCTGCCACCAAAGTGCAGAGGGAAATGTCAAAAGACTCTGTTGTCCCCTGGGTAGTTCAAGATCACAGTCCATAAGACAGCAAGTCTGACCTGTAGGACTCCACAGGCCACCCAGGGCACACAAGGCCACAAGGCTAGAGCCTGTCAGAAGAGTTCTTCAAGTATCTCCAACCCTGCTGGGCAGGGCTGATTTCTCAGACAGCCATAAACCTCCGAGCAACCAAGGCAGATGGATGACTTCAGCCGTTAAGTTTCTAGCCACCTGTTACTCAGCTGCAGGTGACTGATAACCCTGACCTATACTCCTGCCCACATCATTTCCCTCAGGAAGCACAAAGTGGGTAGTCCACACCTCAGAGGGCTTTCCTGGCCGAGTGTCAACAGAGGCTTGAAAACCCTCTGAAATAAACCCTCGAGTAAAGCAGGGGGACACCCAAGAGTGGGCAGGCCAAGAGCAGCATTTCCAAAGGGCAAGTGGCAAAATGGTCTGCAGAGCAGACCAGGCTAGCCCAGCTGAACGCTGTAGGGCAGGGACAGAGGGCAGCCACACTCCCAGCGGCTCTAAAGAGTGGAATCCCCTGGGGAACCCCAAGCCAAGACCACAAGATGAAGGGCAGAGAGAGGGGTAAGAGAGTTCATGGCTTACCTCCAAAACCAAAAAGAACCCAGAAGGCCAAGCTTGCTGCCTTGACCCAGACATCCAGGGGGCAGGTGCTCAAACAAAAGAAAACGATCGTGTTTATGGCCCTGACTCAGACACACTCAAACAAAGACGAGCCCCCCACTTCTGATCCACACTCAGCCGTGTGACACAGCCGTGTCTTCTCCCCAGTGCCCCACTTGGCACACAACTACTGGGCCCCACGCCAGCCTGAGGGGCTCCCAGGATGGCGAGGGAACCAGGAGACACAGCTGGGAGGACCACACGCTCGCTGACACCCATGGTCTTTTGTTTTGGTTTTTCAAGACAGGGTTTCTCTGTGTCATTTTGGTGCCTGTCCTGGATTTCACTCTGTAGGCCAGGCTGGCCTCAAACTCACAGAGATCCGCCTGGCTCTGCCTCCCGAGTGCTGGGATTAAAGGAGTGTGCACCACCACCACCCGGCAACACCCATGGTCTTCATCACACTGCTTCCAGAAGAGGCCAGCAGCCAGGTACATACACAGAAGGCCAGGGGGTCACTATGGGGCTGGGGGTGGGAGGCACTATTTAGCATCTCCTTCATCTCGATGCCTGGTCACTTTCCAAATGTCTTCAGAGTTAGACCCCTAGTGCCCCAGCATCTCACAGGAATGTAGCCAGGTGTGGGCTTCTGGCTGCTCCTAGCCAGGGCACCCTTGGTGACCTTCTGAGGCTGGGACACATACATACAGGCCCACGCATTCTCCTGTGCCAGCAGCCCTTCATGGCAGCCACACCCGAGAAAGACATTAAGGTCACACATAACCAACCAACACTCATCTGGTCCCACACGAGGAACTTTCCACAGGCCACTAGCCAGAAGGCTCTTTTCCAGTCCACAGGTAAGCCCCACAGAGACAGAGGCCAGGGCCCCTCAGGGTAAAGAGCTTGGTATGGTGGCGGGGCCGGGATCCACACACAGACTTACCCGACTCAGGGCTTCATATGCTCATCAGCCACAGCCCACGACCTCTCTTGTCTATAATTAACTGCAGAGTCCGATCTTCATCCCCTTCAACTGTGTCAACGCCATGTGTGGGAAGAGAACTCGGTCATATCAGTAATAAGTGCCCTGATATCGAGAGATGTGATAAAAACCACACAGAGTTTGCATCACAAGGGGCGGAGACCAGCCTCCATCACAGACAGACAAGAGGAGGGCCACCTGCTCTCTCTGGTACTCAACAGTCCCACGTGAGACGAGAACATGTTTCAGCAGGCAGTGAGGAACGAAGCCTACTGAAAAGGACATGGCTTAGGGGACCGGGTCAGGGAGCAGGAGCTGTCCCGTCGGATCCCCAAAAAGAAACGGTATGTGGGCAGGACGAGGGAAGGAAAGGCAGAACACAGTGATGTGGGGGACTGGGAGAGAGAAGCGTGAAGGACCATGGGAGGATTCACTGGGGTGCACTGACAGGTGGTCCAACAGCAGGTCTAGTCGATGGCACTACTCAAGAGACATAGGAAGGAGGAGGCAGGGGGACCCAGAAGACTGAATGGGATTCGCCAACGTGCTGCAAAGAGATGAGTCAATCTAATCTCTTCCGTGACCCTGAAGAGCACGCCATCACAGCTGTCCCTGGTATCTATAGGGATAGGGGGAGGTTGTCACTCCCACAGAAACAAATGTGTGCACACTTTGTGGCGATCTGTAGTAAAATGGAAATGGGGTAAACCGTCACAATACTATATCTCCTAGTAAATCAATGACAGTTAAGAAAAAATTCTGTGCGCCGCTGGCTAAACCTCAGGCCTAAGCACATGCCAGCAACAATGTAACCCTGAAACCTTCCAGCCACAGCTGCTGACACCAGTATGCAGAACCCTGGGCAACAGAGGTCCAACTGTCATCGCAGAGAGCAGAGGATGATGGGAGCATTCCCACCCCACCCCCGCAGGCTTCCCAGGCTTCCCTTCTATCTCAGAAACTGAATAACCGCTGTTTACCATTCTGGACCAATCCAAAGCAAAATCTCTCCCTCACTCTTCCGCCTCAAACAAAAGCACCTGGCGGGGGCGGGTCCACCAGTCCACATTTGTTTTGTTTTTCTAGGAGACTAGAGAGAGAGAGGAGAGTGGACATGCAAATGAGCAGTGTCAAAGGTCAGACCGAGACACAGAACTTCCTTGTTAGAAAGCAGGCGGCCGGCCTCTGTCTGAAAAGGGGCGTAAACATCAAGGTGAGTCAAGAAGACTAAGAGGAAGGCTGGTAGCACAAACAGAAGCCAGCCAGCCACCCCTCCCCCACACGGGAACCCTGCATCCCACTCCAGTTGGGGCTCTCTCTCCCTGTGGCCTCGATGGCTTTGGGATCCTGTGTTGGAAGAAGGGTCCAGCTCCGCCTGGTTGGATCTGACATCCCAGGAGCTACCGGCCCTGAAGTCGAGCGGAGTTCTGGGTTCTGGTTCTGGAACTGCCTTCAGTCCTTCAGACAACTCCCTCATCTGTGGGTCCAAAGGAACTGACTCCTCTGGACAGCCAGTGGGCCCCTGGGCCATCAGCCTGGAGGTACTGGCCTCCAGTGCCTGAGTGTGGAGTGCATGCATGTGTGCGCGTGCGTGCATGAATGCATGCGTGTGTGACCTGGTTTTTCAGCAGGGTCTTGTGATGTAACCCTGGCTGCCCTTGAACTCTGCAGGCCCCAGAGATCCTCTCGCCTCAGCCTCTCTAGAGAGCTGGGGGGGGGGAGGGGGACAGGCTTGCCCCGCCATGCCACAGACAGTTCACTTTGCAGAGTATCAAGACATAAGCTTCGGATTCATCACCTGGAATATAGAGGTGTCAGTGTCCTAGGACACCACCCCTCATCCTGTGTCAGGCCCCCCAGAGCTCCAAACCAGGCAGCTTTCCCTTTCACTAGTAAGACACAAGGACCACGGACACAGTTTCTTATCTCGGCTCTGAGTTCTCTACGCTACCAACATCCTCAAGCAGGGTGCATTCTGCTAATTAAGGGCAATTAAAGACAAAAGAAGCTCAAGGCTCTCTCTGGCCCGATGCCCAGAGAGGAAGGGATGGGTGGAGGGTGGAAGGAATTCTGACCCAAGGGAAGGGTTGCAGAAGGAAGGAGCAGGAAGCTGCAGAGGCTTTGGGGGCCCCACTCCCCTCATCAAGTTCTCCTCCCAGTTCCGGGCCTGCACCCAACATCCAGATTCCACAGGCCCTCCTCCTACACACGGGCGCCATGGACAACAGGCAGCCCATTACTGGCCCCGGGAATCAGCATCTCCAGCCCTGGAACCTTACTCTGGGCCACAAGCTGCTCGACACCAAGGCCGGGAGAGGCAGTTTGTCCTTCTCCCAGCCTAACCTGAGCGACGAGGATCTGGCACCTGCTACAGCGACCACTTTGTTTTCTGCGGGACAGGTGTCCCCACACGTCATCCTCACAAACAATATGGCCCCGACCAAAGCAGAAGACTTCCTTCCCTTCACTCAAACGCATGGAGTCCAGAGGCAGACTAGACATATGTCTGTTCTGCCAGAGTTTAAGCAGACCACCAGAGCACAGCACTGAACAGAACCCAGCACAGCACTGAACAGAACCCAGCACAGCACTGAAAGGCTGACCCTTCAGACCCTTACTTTTTTTTACAGTTACTGGTCTTGATCCTCCCACAGTAAAACAGACTTCTCTTTGTAAGAATTCCCGGGGGGACTGGCTCAGTAATTAAAAGCATTTGTTACCCCTGCAGATGACCCTGGGTTCAGTTCTCAGCACCCACAGGGTGGCTCCCAACCATCCAGAGGCATGAATGCAGTGTGTATACATGCAGACAAAACACTCATACACATAAAAAGAAATCTTTAAATTAATACAAGTTTGTAAAAAAAAAAAATACCTGAACGTTTGTCTGCTGCATTTACATATATACATTCAATGATTGGTTCAGACTTCAGATGGGCAAAGAGAAGACAGTTTGCATTTTTGGCAAAGAAGAGCCAAGATGACTTTGACTTGGGTGTCCCTGAGTGAATACAGTAAATGATGACTACATCTTAAGGGAATTTTTTAAAACATATTATCTGAGAATTTGGCTTGCATGTATCCCTATTACAGGTGGCTGAGTCTCCACGTTGGTCCTGGGAACCGAACTCAGGCCCTCTGCAAGAGCAGCCAGCGCTCTTAACCGAGCCGTCTCCAGCCCCGAAGAACATTTTCAAGAGAGCACAGCCACAGGTCGGTCCCAATCTCACACCACAAGCCCACCTCACAGGAACCGACTGGCAGAGCAAGCCGGGGATCCATGTCCCAGAAGCGATGCTCTGACTTCAAAACTAGCAGCAGCAGCTTGTCGAAAGCAGGATGAAAAACAGGGCATCGTGTAACGGTTATTAGACACAAACAGGAATTTCTGCAAGAAGATGTATCAGGGGCCGAAGAGAGGGTTGAGCGGCCAAGGTGTGCCTGCTGCCAGGCCTGAGGACCTGAATTCTCTCCACGGGACCCACACGGGAGGAGAAACTGATTGCTCCAAGCTCGCTCTCTCTCTCTCTCTCTCTCTCTCTCTCTCTCTCTCTCTCTCTCTCTCTCTCTCTCCTCTCTCTTTCTCTCCCCCCATCTCTGTCACACACACACACACACACACACACACACACACAAATGTAACAGCAAAAATGGAGTCAAGCACAGAAAAGGAGTTTCTTGCCTCCTTTCCCAACTGCTGTATCAAGGCAGTCACAGGGCTGGGGTCTTACTCTGTGGTCCAGGCTCGTTTCCAACTCCCAGTCCTGACTCGGTGCGATACAGGTGGATTCCACCACATCCAACTCAACATATGTATATAGTATTTCTTCTTTTTTTTTTAGGCAAGTTCTCACTATGCAGCCCAAGCTGGCCTATAAACCCCTCATCAACTGCTGGAATTACAGGTGTGCACTACAACCAGGCACCTATACAGCAGTACCTCACCAGGTAGCCTTGGCTGGCCTCGAACTCAAGCGATCCACGTCCCCGCCCAAGGGGTGAGATACCAAACACGCAGCCCCATTCCCAGCTTCCACAAAGGCGCTTTCCCACAGGTCAAGACCAGACTTTCCAAGCCCAGCCACACCGCTCCTTACCTGCTTGTGAGCCCTAAGAACACACACAAGTAGACTCACCTGAGGTTCAACTTCCGCTCTTCATCGCTGCCAGCCTCCAACTGCAGAGAGAGAAAGAGAATGTAACCCCGCTGACGCCGACGCCGCTGCTATCAACGCCGACGTCGCTGCTATCAAAGCCGACGTCCCTGCTATCATCGGCCCTGACAGCGGGCTCCCCCGGGTGCCGGGAAAAGATAAAGGCATCCAGGAAGAAGGCTGGCGTGTGCGACAGACACACCCCCGTCCTCTGCTTGCCAACCTGATGCGCTGTTCCTCTGAGTCATTCCCGCCACATGTTTTCAGGTTCCCAAATGTTTACCCCCCATTCCCGGCACAGTCTATCAAGAGCTGCCTGGGAGCCGAGCCCCTAGGAGGCAGAGTTCCCCAACACATTCCTTCAGCCCTCTGCTCTGGCCTTGCTGGCTCTGAGCCTTATGTTGGTTTTGTTTTTAAGGGAGACAGGGGGGGGGGGCGCGGGGCGATGTTGTAAGGAAATCTATTTCTCTGTCACTAGTCAGTCCATCGTAAAAAAGTCCATTCCAAGGGGTGGGGCACACACCTGTCATCCCAGCTATGAAACAGGCTGCGGCAGGGGACTGCTGGAGCTGGGAATTTAAGAGAGCAGCTCAGACAACCTAGCAAGCAGGCCCGTCCAAAAAAAAAAAAAAAACATCCCATAGAAGGTAGCCAGGCACTGAACTCTAAATGTATACATGTTAACCCCATCACTATTTTTTTTTCTTTTCTTTTTGGGAGGAAACATAAAATGAGAAGAAAACACAAGGCTGCCCCAGGGGGACTTGGTGTGTTTTTTAAGTACCCTGTGAATGGAAGAGAATGGGGACCTGTGTGATGGCCAAGACTGACACCGGACTGGAGTCAATCCAGCCAGCGGTCAAGGACAATAGGGAACGGGTGTCGAGTTAAGGTAGGAAGGGTAACAGGCAGCAAGGGCCATACAGCAAGAGGGGGCACCTTCGACCAAGAATGAGCACGCCCTAAGGCCCCGGCATCCTCCCTGCATGAAGATTCCGTGTACAACTTCACAGATACACACACTGAGAATGGACCACATTTGCTCCGGGGCTGTAAGGGAGAAGGAACCGGGCAGGCTCCACACACCACAGGACCAGAGGGAAGCAAGCTAGCTAGCCGCGACCAACACGTCAGCATTTGTTCAACCAAGGGCCACTGGGGCATTTCTGGAGGGTGCTGCTGGCATCTAGTGGGTGGAACATGGGATGCTGCTACACAAGAAGGCTCTGGCCACGAGTGTCGGTGTCAGCATCGAGGCTGAGAAAGCCCCGGCCCAGCCCAAAGTGTCTGGAGACCTGCCTGTGCCTAGAAAAAAAAAAAAAAAAAAAAAAAAAAAAAGAGGGACTATGTACATTTGTCAAAAACAATGTTACTATGCACTGGGGGAGGGGGGGAGCTGCTGTATCTTCTTCTGGGCTCCCCTCGTTCTCACAGGGAAGTTCAGATAAGGTGAACGGAGAAACAAGAAGCATGAGATGATTAAAGATCCAGAAGGAAAGAAAGGCGGAGGGAGGGGGCAGGGGTGGGGTTGGGGGGGTGCAGGGGGGGTGGGGGGGTGAGGGTGCAAACGGGGCAGGGCAGGATTGCTGTAGGGCCAAGGGCTGTGATTTCGCTTGGTTTCCCAGGCTTCGCGGGTAGCCTTGCTGTGTCAGGAAACGACTGTGTCCCTGACTCATAAGAGAAGTGGCGTTTTGATAAAGTGGTGGTGGTGATGGGGGGGGGGGGCGTGTAACAGGCACCACAGCCATTTCTTTCTCAGTCACCCTCTGAGGTTTTTCCATCGAAAGGTGATGTAAGGCCAGGAATGCCGGAGGAGAAGAGATGGCAGAGACCATCCTCCTTAAGAAGTAATCCAGGCCTCTCAAGATGAGCTGACTCGAGACAGGAAGCCAAGTGGAGGAAGGGCGGGCCAGAGGCACAGCCAATCTGGACCCGGGTCTCCCAACTCAAGGCGGTGGCACCTGCTAGCTCCTCTTGGCCTTGCTCCCGGCCTCAGCACATCTGGGAGGCAGCCTCGCCATCCCAGGAGCATCCAGGTCTGTTCTACCACTGCAGACAAATGCCGCTGACGTACTAAAGTTAGAGAAAAGCTGTCTGGGATTTTAGGGTTTCCGTTTGTGCTTTTTGTGTACTTGTGTGAGAGGTGTGTGTTCGTGTGTGTGTGTGTGTGTGTGTGTGTGTGTACATGTATGTGTGTGGATGCTGGAGACTATGATGTTGTCTTCCAGGTTGAGTCAGGGTCTCCTCGCCGAACCCAATCTTAATTCCACCACTCTGGCCGAGTAGCTTGTTCTGAGGACTTCCTATCTCCACCTCTCACATCCCTGGGATATGTGGGCTCTGGGCACCTGGCCCCTCCCTCCCACTTTCAGGATTCGCCATTTCCCAGCCCTTTGGCTGAGTTTTATACTCTGTTAACTGGTCATTGAAACTTGGTTTTAAAAAGTTGTCTTATACAGCCAGGCGGCGGTGGCACCCACCTTTAATCCCAGCACCACTCAGGAGGCAGAGGCAGGGAGGATCTCTGTGAGTTCTAGGCCAGCCTGATCTACAGAGTGAGTTCCAGGACAGCCGGGGATACACAGAGGAACCCTGTCTTGAAAATAAAACAAAACAAAACAAAATTCTTATGTAATAATTTAATATGTAAGCTGGGACAGGGCTGCGGGCAGCTGAGCAGTCAAAAGCACTTGCTGCTCTTCCAGAGGGGACCTAAAATCAGATGCCAGCACCCTCATCCTGATGCTCACAAACAGGGCGCCCCAGCTCCGCAGGACCCAAGGTCCTCTTCAGATCTCTGTGGGAACCTGCACTCACATGCACATATCTATCCATCCATCCATCCATCCAGAGACAGACAGACACACAGACACAGACACAGACACACACACACAATTTAATTTTTTTGTGTGTTTTTCGAGACAGGGTTTCTTCATGTAGTTTTGGTGCCTATCCTGGAACTCGCTCTATAGACCAGGCTGGCCTCGAACTCACAGAGATCCACCTGGCTGGAGTGCTGGGATTAAAGGCATGCGCCACCACCACCTGGCTTTGAAATAATTTTTTTGGAAAAAAATATACAGGAGCTGGAACACACACACACACACACACAGCCCTGCTTCAAAACTTAGCACTAAAAAATAATAAAATGATAAAAGTATCCTAATGAATGTCCTGAAAAAACTTTTACCTTCATGTAATGGATCTTTCATTCATAAAATGATACACTGACTCGTGACACAACCTGATAAACCCTGAAACCATTGTGCTAAGAGAGAGAAGCCAGGCAGAGGCAATACTGTATGTTTCTGGTTATATGAAATGCACAGAATGGGCAAATGTAGAGAATGGAGGTGAAGGGCCCCCTGGAGTGGGGGTGGGGACTCGGGAGGGTGGGGTGCTGAAAAGCTTCTGGACTTCGGGGTGACCTACTAAAACTGAATTACATACTTCGCAAAGGTAAAGTCACAGGCTGTGAGTTACATCTCAACTAAAAAAAAAAAAAAGATTGAAAACCTAAAACTGTGTCTAAGGCAGGAACAGGAAGTGATCAGGTGTTAAATCACCAAAAACAATATGGAAGTTGGTCAGAAATCCAGGCTGAAAGCCAGGTGCGGAGGGCCCTTCTAAAATACCGCACCTGGGCGGCGGCGGCAGGCGGCCAATCCCACGCTGGAGTCCAGCTTTGTCTACACAGTGCCAGGCCAACCAGAGCTACACGGTGGGGCAGAAGGAGGGAGGGAGGGAGGGAGGCAGAGAAATCGGGGCTGCAAAGGCCGGTACAGTCCCTCCCCTGAAGCCACACTCTTCCCTAAGCCGCTGTAGTTTTTTTGTAGGAAGAACATGAGATAAAGAGGATAAAAAGTACTTTGTAAACTGATGTGGGAGAACCGAGCTGTGTGGGAAGAGAGTCTCTACTACAATCTAAACTTCTCAGTTGCCCTGCCTGATTGTGTGCAAAGAAGAGAAGAAGAAAAAAAAAAAGAAGAGGCAACCAGAACCTTCTGCCTGGAGATAAAACTCATGAAAGAGCCTCAGACAGAGGGGACCCTGGAGGCTTAAACTCACAGCCACCCAGCAAACGTGCCTGCCAGCCCCGGCTAGACTGAGACACAAACGCCAACCACACGGGGATACAGGGGGTGTTGAGCCCGAGTCTCAGGCAGGCACACACACAACCCGGGGGGACAGGGCCCAGATCCCAGCTGGCAACTTCCTGGGCCTGCAGGGCTGGTCCGGGCGGGCACAGCGAGGCGTCCCCTGCAGCAGGCTGGGTCCTCAGGGATTTACCCGCAGGCCTTCGGCTCATCAGGGGAGGGGGGTGGGGGTTGAGACGGGCCGGGGCAGCGCAGCCCAAGGCAGGCCGCCCTGGGGACCCGGGGGCGCGCCGGTGCCCATCTACCCCGACTCTCAGCAGCACGAGCCCAGGCCCCCAGCGCACCCCGGGAGCGCGAACCCAGAGCCGTTCCCGGTGCCCGGCGCGCTGGCAGCAGCATCTCCCCGCGACCCCGACCCCGCGCATGCTCAGTCCCCGGGACGCGGGGACGCCCGCACCCCAAGGGCGGACGCGCCTCCGCTTCGCACCTTGCGGGAGGGCGCGGCCCG